TCCCGACACCATTAGAATCCCGAAAACGGTGAAATCTAGATCCCAAAGGGATTACTTTCCCGATGGGACCCCAAACCCCATGTGATTCATTGCTATTTGTGATCCCAACCACTTTGGGATCCCAAACGCAATGGAATCCCGTTTCTAAAAGGGATCAAATATCCGGATGGGATAACGCTTTGAGTGAGTACCCGACACAATTTGGGATTGCCATCCTGACGGGTTCCCGTTTTCCCGATATGATCCCTTTACTATTACCTATTACTTGACTCGCATTCCCCGATGGGATCTAGTACCTGTTGAGATACCATTCTCTCAATTTTTAAAATAATGTTTTTCATTATCTAAACAGAAATACTCAATGCTGTAAGCAGGGACGTCAATTGGACAGGGCACGGTCAAACTTCAAATTTGTCACCCTTCCGTCTTCATGCGGCAATGGAGATTTTATTGACACTTAGGCTCAGTTCAGAAGATCCAATTCGCGTCAAATTTTCGTTCATACATTTGATGCGATTTTGTATAAAGCCTAGTGATACTTCCAAATTACTATTTGATAAAATTCTCATTTTCGTCCACAAAAAAAAAAAAAAAAGCCAAGAATAGAATAGGGCGTTAAAATAAAAAAAATTGACGCAATTTTTAAGCTAATTTGAAAGGAATTTAATCGTATGACCTGAGCTTACTCCCCTGGATAATGCGTTCAATATTGAAATGGCAGAGAGCCTCGGCTGTAATTATCCAAGGATTGCCGTGACTTCTGGTTTCCGTTTGACTCAAAATTGTCCGTTTGGTTGCAAGGGTTTCTTTTTGAGCATGTTCAGCCTGTTGTAAAAATACACTGCTGTTAGTCACATGGCTATCAGCCATAAGCTTCCATTCACTTATTTTGATGTTGGATTTCCTTATGTTTCTTTTGAATTCGCCCTGATGGTGAAGCGGGCGTCTAACAAGTCTTTCGAGCTCTGCTAACTCTCTGTACAGAAAGATCTTTGGAATAAAGCATTTCTCCATTCTCCTTACATGGCCTAAACAGCAAAGGCACTTCTTACTAATAGTGGAATAAATGCTGTTACTAAATAGTAAATAGCAAATGTTGACAGGATCTGTGTTTCATCCGTGTTGACATTTCTTTTCTTTAGACTGATGTTGATTCCAAACACTTTACAGTCTTCTGGTTCTGGTAGTTTTTATTGCTGCATCCATATACTGGCATATGTACAAAGGTTGGGGAAGCGATGTTTCTATCCTAACAGCTCCAAGCCGATGCCAGGGCAGCCTTGAAGCTTTCGACTGCTGTCGAGTCCACGGCGGCATTATCCAGGTGGTTCCAAGCGATTATTGTGCGGGGAGAGAAAGATTGTTTATATTGCACTGTGTTACACCGAGGTGTAATTGTCTATGGGGGTTGTTGGAGGTGAAATCAGTGTTTACTGAGCGTTTGGCTTTGATTAACCCACTTGGCTTCCGCGGGGTGAAATAGGTGTTTGCTGGGATGGCCGGCACTAGGCCTATGACACTTTATATAAGAATATTAGGCGGAGCTTTTCTCATCTATCTTTGAGGGAGGGAATATCAAATCTTTTTAAGAGGCCAGCGAAGAAGCCAGGAGTGGTTGATTTGTAGTCACGTGCGATGAAGCGCATTGCGTTGCGTTGAATTTGCTCCATCTTGTGCACGTCTTGCTTTAAGTATGGGTCCTAGATGATGGCACCATATCTTAGTTTTTATCAATTCGGCATCGACTGTGAACAGCAATGTAATATTTAGAGTGAAAAGCAATGTACGAAATAGCACCTTTTATCGCATGTTTATTTCACGTGTCTGGGTTAGTAATTTTAACATTGAGCAATGATGTTTTCTTTAGGGACTTCCCCATGTGTCGTACCACTTTTGCTCAGTCGTGAATGTGCTATGGCGCATTTCCGGAGCTGCAATATATTGGTGCGGAAAATCGTTGTGGTTCTGGTTCTAGTAATCTTTCGTTGCTGCATCCATGTACTGGCATCTTTGAAACGGTTGGGGATATGATGTTGCTATTCTAACAGCTCCTAGCTGATGCCAGGGCAGCCTTGAAGCTTTCGACCGATGCCGAGTTTACAGTGGCATCGTTCAGGTGGTTCCATGCTATTATTGTGCGTTGGAAGAAAGATTTGTTACCGTGAACACTATTGTTAAGTTGGTTTAATGTGCATAGTGTCTTAACACATCATATACATAATTAAAGGATACCTTCATTTCAAACCATCTCGTCCAGTTATTTGAAACGAGAGTGACAACGCTGTTTCCACTCTGATCTGATAATGTTGTCTGTGGCCGTTGGAGAAGGGATTTACCCCTAGACGACATTTTGCCACATGGGGGGGGGGGGCTCTACCAAACCATCCAACATCTTGTCATAAGGTTGGGCCTATTGAAAATCCTCCGAAATATTGAGAAGAGCCTTGGTACAATTGCACAGACTTGCTTCCTTTATATATATTTACATGAACGCCCTTAGATTTCAATAGGCTAGTCTTGTTTTCCATAAAATGCTCACTTTGTGGTCTCTTCCAGTTTCTCATCAATATGTGAACTTTATTACTTTAAATATAAAATCCATTAAAAAAAAGCACACTATATTTTGACATAAAACCCTCTTCTGACAGGGCCATTGCGTACCTCTACGGTGTGCACCAGGAAAATACCTTCTGAACGGATTATGTTCTACAAAGTTAACAAATATACGAGGATTGTTCTACAGACTCAGAATCTTGTTGCTACCTCAGCAATATGCTCCGATAGGAGATCTCAAAATTGTTGAAAATTTCTTTAGAATGCAGGTTCGATTTATAACTTTATTCTCTTTTAACATTTCTAGCTTGATTTTTTTTTCTGCACACAGACACACATACGGGCACACATACGGACACACATTCGAACACACATACGGAACACACATATGGACACACATACGGACACACACACACATGCACTATGACTATATGTTTTCATTTCCAAGCATGCCTTAAACAGAAAATTAAACAGAGCTCACCCTAGAAAAGGGGAGGGGTCTCTGCAGACTGATCAAAAATACCAGATCATTTTATCCTTCAAAAAGGATAAAAAATAATACCAGTCCCAGGTCACTATAAAAATAACCCGCATCTATTCAAATTTTTCAATAATTTTCCTTCAATTTCATGAGAGACATTGGATTTTTAAAAGCGAAATGTAGCGGTGTTGCTGAGGGGGGGGGGGAGGCTGCTGAAGACCGCACCGGGTGACACTATCACAGTGGGTGACACCACATTGAAAAATAGCCTATTTATAGAGCACACACTGCTCGGTCTAACCGAATTTTATACAAGGATAACCTATTACCCATAAATTTTGCAAACATGTTACCAAAGCAATGGTATACTGTGTCGGAAATTCGTAAAAATAACTATAACTTAACGTTTTTACATTTCCAAAATACATAAAACTCCTGACCTTCAAATGATTTTTTTTGTTCTTGGCATTTTTTTTACTGTGGATTTATTTTAATAAGAAGAAATCAGCCGCCATGCAAAGTCGGGGGAGGGGGGACACCATGCGTTTACCGAAAAGGGTGACATCAGCCCTAGCTACGCCACTGTCAACATGTTAATATAATCTCACACCCATAAATTATTGGAAACGATACAAAGTTATGTCAAATTATTTTAATTCCACTTTTTCTAACCAACAACTTGCATTAATTATCTACACGATTTTTAAATACTTTTTTTTCAGTTTGAAACTGATCTCAACCTCACTAGTTGCTACAAGATTAGTATCAGCAGTCTCACAACAAGTTTAGTGACACTGAAAGAGGAGGGTGATCCAAAGATTCCAAATGTCGTCGCTTTATGGATTGATTGTGCAATATTGGCTGGAGCCAAATACCAAAGGGATTCATTTGAAGCGAAAATTATTGATTTATTTTTGGATGAAAATATTGAACTTTTTATCAATGGGTCCGGAGATGTGAAATTTCACCCTTTATTTGTGTTTGATGAAATCAAGTTTGTCGTTCATCACAGCGATGAGTACTATCCTTTTAGAATCAATGATGAATTCGAGTCGAGGCCAATTACTTCCAGCTCAATTACAGAGGATGAGAAAATTTTTGTGAAGACGTTCCTAGACTCCTTTGTGAACAAAACTTCAGGAGATTACACATTTATAAGTATAACAAAATTGTTGACCTGTAGCTATGTACACATTAATGAGACATATTATAACATCCATATATATCATGGATCCATTCACATACAAGTAACGTTAGACCTGTACGGCACAAAACTCAATATCACAGATTTCAAGGATCTTAACAAGATGGTCATTAATGGAGATGGTCACCTTTGTGTTTGTAAAGACTTTCTAGATGAGACCTTGAATAAACAACACTTTGTTTCTCCTTCGTCCATGTCAGTCTACGTTCAATACATTTTGACATTATTGTGTTTAGGAGCGTCTATTCTCTGCCTCGTTATGACTTTAGCCACGTTTTTTCTGTTTCCCGTCTTGCGTACTGAGCCTGGGAAGTATACAATGTTCCTTTGCCTGAGCCTGATACTGGCTCAGATCTCTCTCATTGTCAGTTCCAACATGTAAGTACAAGCATGAATGGCTAAGTGTTTAAATAATTATAAGTCTCCTTGCATGAAATAACCTGTCAAAACTGATATGACAAAAAATATTTTTACTGAGCAACAATAATAATAAAAAAAGTTATTGAAATATATTCACATATTCTCAATTTTATTATGGCCTTTACTAGAACTTTGTGTATTATATAACGTAAATAATTTAATAAAATAAGTCAAGTATCTAAACAGACAAATATTATTTTAATTACCTTGATACACATTTGTATCATTTTGGCTAATTACAATTATCCAAACATCAACCAATTAAGCAAATGTAAATGGAGTGTTACGTTTTATACCAGTCCACCCCCAGGTCTCCTATGTAAAGCCGTTGGTGTAGCCACTCATTTAACTTGGCTGTGGATGTTTTCCTGGAGTTTTATCTGCAGCTTCAACATGTTTCGTGTGTTTACATCAAGGACACGTAGCTCTGCAATGACTAGACTTGAAGTAGGACGAAACCTCATTAAACGTTGTGTTGTCTCCTTTTTAATGCCGGTCTTGGTCGTGTTGGCTGTGGTCGTAACTACGCTCCTTTTGACCGAGGGAGAGAAAATTGGATACGGTGAGAAGCTCTGCTACTTGGACAAACCTCTGATTGTTGGTAAGTTCACTTCTTTCAAGTGTTGGTTTTTACAAAAAATTTTAACACTTTTTTAACCTTTATATTAACTTCGCTTTTTTCTTGGCTGCTTGGTTGGGTAGTCGGCTGGCCAATATTTGGCACGACTAATTTAACTCACTTCCAGTCAACCCATGGGTTGAAAATCGCCATCTGGTGACGACAACCCATTTAAAAATTTTTTTAGCTCACCCGTCAAACCAAACCCTGAAAAATCAGTTTTTCCCTTTTTTCCAAGGAGACCATCAAGGAAATAGAACATTGATTTCACCAACTAAAAGTACCTGCAATGGCACCAAAAGTGATTCCCTATCCTTTATATAATAAACAACACCTAAAACCATAGTTTTTCATGTTAATCCTTTATAAAATATAATGTCGAGCAATGTGGGTGAAGGTAAAAATTTGACAAAACATGCGATCAATTCAGTCGCTTTATAAGAATTCCAATCAGTTCTCCCCTCCAGGCGCCAATTAGTACCCCTCCCCAGGCGCCACTTAATTACATTAATATTCTAAGGACCCACAAGCTTTAAGATCGCAGATTTTCAGCCCATCGCTCGATATTATATTTTATAAAGCATTTAAACGAAAAACTTTGTTTTATGGTTTGTTCAATTCATTTTAGGAATAAGCGACAATCTTTAAGAAAGTGTTTAAGCTGCTTGTTAAGATTTTGAATTCATCAGTGTCCAGTTAGAATACTTACTCCTATCTTAGGACTCGCAGTGTTAGGACCGATGACTCTTGTCGTTGGAAGCAACGTGGTGTTCTTCACACTGACTGTCTTAAACATTGAGAGCATTCGTCATCTACAACATCACGTGACGTCGTCCGACACAAGGAATTTGTTGGTGTACGTCAAGCTGTCATCACTGACAGGAGCTTTCTGGACAATGGCAGTGGTCGCAGAAGTAACCGATATGGATTTTCTGCGGTATCTAATTTTGATTATATCATTTTTTACATCATTCATTGAATTTTATATAATTGATACAGTAAGTTTTATATAATTGATACATTAAGTTTTATACAATTGATACATTAAGTTTTATATAATTGATGCATTAAGTTTTATAAAATTGATGCATTAAGTTTTATATAATTGATATATTAAATTTTATATAATTCATGCATTAAGTTTTATATAATTGATACATTAAGTTTTATATAATTGATAAATTAAGTTTTATATACTTGATGCATTAAGTTTTATAAAATTGATGCATTAAGTTTTATAAGTTGATGCATTAAGTTTTATAAAATTGATGCATTAAGTTTTATATAATTGATGCATTAAGTTTTATATAATTGATGCATTAAGTTTTATATAATTGATACATTAAGTTATCCCGTCGCAAAAGTTTTGATGTCCCACATCCAATGTATCTTTAAAATGATTAATCCCCAATAAGTCGCCATTAAAGGCAATATCCATATAGCTCACAATGATAAATGTACATGTTAAATCTTAGCTTCAATTATAAATCTGTATTTCAGGTTTGTTTCTATCTGTCTCAATGGACTTCAGGGTGTTTTCATCTTTCTCTCCTTCATTTGCAACAAGAAAATCATTACGCTATACGCTATGGCTTTTGCTAAGAGTACCAGGGAATCGACAGAGTACACTGATCCTAGATGTTGGGACTGAGTTCAGTCCTTGTCAAGTAAATAGATATTGGATTAAGATATGTTTAGGCTTAAAATGAAAAGACGGAAAAAAATTAAAAGGACTTCTTTTTCAGAGAGACACAGAGACTGAGCAAGCTTCGTTGCTATCTGGGAACACTTAAGACAGCAAGCTTCATTGCTATCTGGGAACGCTTAAGACAGCAAGCTTCATTGCTATCTGGGAACACTTAAGACAACAAGCTTCATTGTTATCTGTAAACACTTAAGTCAGCAAACTTCATTGAACTTGGGATCACTGAAGTTTTTCAACTTCAAATAATTTGTTTTTCTTGCCTTTTTTCTGTTTTGCTAAAAACGACGTTTGTCAGAAACGTCCTTTTAATTGTTTGTCTTCATACCAACTCGACAAATACCCTGTGACACTATTTAGAGACTGATCTGCTAAGGAATAAATCCAAGACGATGGCATCCTTTTTTTTCTTTCTTTTTTTTTTTTTTGTAACACAAATTTGTCGTTACTCCCATTTTATTAATATATCAAGGGAATCATCCAATATGACGTCATACATTGGGGTGGGGTGTTATGTCCGTTGACATCCCAATAAAAGAGGGTGTCTAAATTATGTGACCAATTGGGGACGATAGAGGAGTTCGAGGCCAAAATCAGCCAAAATAGCGTGACGCAAATGATGGATTATCCCATAATTAAAAATATATACATACGTTATCTGGGTCACTAATAGTTGATGTTTCACTTTGCTTCTCAAGATCAGGTTCAGAATTATGAACAGGCGTCATAATTTTCATGTGTTCGGTTTGAGTCTTTTGGACTTTCTAAGACAGGTCAATTGATAGCTAGGATTTGTGTCTTTTGGACTTTCTAAGACAGGTCAATTGATAGCTAGTGTTTATGTCTTTTGGACTTTCTAAGACTGGTCAATTGATAGCTAGGGTTTGTGTCTTTTGGACTTACTAGGACAGGTCAGGTGATAGCTAGGGTTTGTGTCTTTTGGACTTTCTAAGAAAGGTCAATTGATAGTTAGGATTTTTGTCTTTTGGACTTTCTAAGACAGGTCAATTGATAGCTAGGATTTGTGTCTTTTGGACTTTCTAAGACAGGTCAGGTGATAGCTAGGGTTTGTGTCTTTTGGACTTTCTAAGACAGGTCAATTGATAGCTAGGATTTGTGTCTTTTGTACTTTCTAAGACAGGTCAGGTGATAGCTAGGGTTTGTATATTTTGGACTTTCTAAGACAGGTCAGGTGATAGCTAGGGTTTGTGTCTTTTGGACTTTCTAAGACAGGTCAGTTGATAGCTAGGGTTTGTGTCTTTTGAACTTTCTAAGACGGGTCAATTGATAGCTAGGATTTGTGTCTTTTGGACTTTCTAAGACAGGTCAGGTGATAGCTAGGGTTTATGTCTTTTGGACTTCCTAAGACAGGTCAATTGATAGCTAGGGTTTGTGTCTTTTGGACTTTCTAGGACAAGTCAGGTGATAGCTAGGGTTTGTGTCTTTTGGACTTTCTAAGAAAGGTCAATTGATAGTTAGGATTTGTGTCTTTTGGACTTTCTAAGACAGGTCAATTGATAGCTAGGATTTGTGCCTTTTGACTTTCTAAGACAGGTCAGGTGATAGCTAGGGTTTGTGTATTTTTGGACTTTCTAAGACAGGTCAATTGATAGCCAGGATTTGTGTCTTTTGTACTTTCTAAGACAGTCAGTTGATAGCTAGGGTTTGTGTCTTTTGGACTTTGTAAATCAGGTCAGGTGATAGCTAGGGTTTGTATATTTTGGACTTTCTAAGACAGGTCAGTTGATAGCTAGGATTTGTGTCTTTTGGACTTTCTAAGACAGGTCAGGAGATAGCTAGGGTTTGTGTCTTTTGGACTTTCTAAGACAGGTCAATTGATAGCTAGGATTTGTGTCTTTTGTACTTTCTAAGACAGTCAGTTGGTAGCTAGGGTTTGTGTCTTTTGGACTTTCTAAGACAGGTCAGGTGATAGCTAGGGTTTGTATATTTTGGACTTTCTAAGACAGGTCAGGTGATAGCTAGGGTTTGTGTCTTTTGGACTTTCTAAGACAGGTCAGTTGATAGCTAGGGTTTGTGTCTTTTGAACTTTCTAAGACGGGTCAATTGATAGCTAGGATTTGTGTCTTTTGGACTTTCTAAGACAGTTCAGGTGATAGCTAGGTTTTATGTCTTTGGACTTCCTAAGACAGGTCAATTGATAGCTAGGGTTTGTGTCTTTTGGACTTTCTAGGACAAGTCAGGTGATAGCTAGGGTTTGTGTCTTTTGGACTTTCTAAGAAAGGTCAATTGATAGTCAGGATTTGTGTCTTTTGGACTTTCTAAGACAGGTCAATTGATAGCTAGGATTTGTGTCTTTTGTCTTTTCTAAGACAGTCAGTTGATAGCCAGGGTTTGTGTCTTTTGGACTTTCTAAGACAGGTCAGGTGATAGCTAGGGTTTGTATATTTTGGACTTTCTAAGACAGGTCAGGTGATAGCTAGGGTTTGTGTCTTTTGGACTTTCTAAGACAGGTCAATTGATAGCTAGGATTTGTGTCTTTTGTCTTTTCTAAGACAGTCAGTTGATAGCCAGGGTTTGTATATTTTGGACTTTCTAAGACAGGTCAGGTGATAGCTAGGGTTTGTGTCTTTTGGACTTTCTAAGACAGGTCAGGTGATAGCTATTGTTTGTGTCTTTTGGACTTTCTAAGACAGGTCAATTGATAGCTAGGATTTGTGTCTTTTGTCTTTTCTAAGACAGTCAGTTGATAGCTAGGGTTTGTGTCTTTTGGACTTTCTAAGACAGGTCAGGTGATAGCTAGGGTTTGTATATTTTGGACTTTCTAAGACAGGTCAGGTGATAGCTAGGGTTTGTGTCTTTTGGACTTTCTAAGACAGGTCAGGTGATAGCTATTGTTTGTGTCTTTTGGACTTTCTAAGACAGGTCAATTGATAGCTAAGGTTTGTGTCTTTTGAACTTTCTAAGACGAGTCAATTGATATCTAGGATTTGTGTCTTTTGGACTTTCTAAGACAGGTCAGGTGAAAGCTAGGATTTGTATATTTTGGACTTTCTAAGACAGGTCAGGTGATAGCTAGGGTTTGTATCTTTTGGACTTTCTAAGACAGGTCAATTGATAGCTAGGATTTGTGTCTTTTTGGACTTTCTAAGACAGGTCAATTGATAGCTAGGATTTGTGTCTTTTGTACTTTCTAAGACAGGTCAGGTGATAGCTAGGGTTTGTGTCTTTTGGACTTTCTAAGACAGGTCAGGTGATAGCTAGGGTTTGTGTCTTTTGGACTTTCTAAGACAGGTCAGGTGATAGCTAGGGTTTGTGTCTTTGACTTTCTAAGACAGTTCAGGTGATAGCTATGGTTTGTGTCTTTTGGACTTTCTAAGACAGGTCAGGTAATAGCTAGGGTGTGTGCAGCCCGGGGCGAGCCAAGCTTTTTGCCACCTCCATCTTCACGAAACAGCCCGCATGCCACATTTGAATGATTGTCCCCGACCTGCGACGCCGGACAGAGCGTGTCAAGTACACATGGACCAAGCATAAAACGGTCAAGAGTTTCTTTAAAAATGCATATTAAAAGGGGGCCGTTCGGGAGCGTTTACGACAAACAACCAACCAACCCCCACTTATAAATATTGTAAAAATTTGACATGTCATAAGGAGGTTGGCTTCACTATCCATGTCATAAGGAGTTTGGCTTCACTATATATGTCATTAGGATGTTGGCTTCCCTATACATGTCATTAGGATGTTGGCTTCACTATACATGACATTAGGATGTTGGATTCACTATAGATGTCGTAAGGAGGTTGTCTTCACTATGCATGCCGTAAGGATGTTGGCTTCACCATACATGTCGTAAGGAGATTGTCCTAACTATACATGACGTAAGGATGTTGGCTTCACTATACATGTCGTAAGGATGTTGTCATCACTATATATGTCGTAAGGAGGTTGGATGATTAAGTTCCGCTTAGCTGTTTGCTAATCGCTACACGAGAAATCCATATCTAATATTTTAATGAAATATATATGTAAGATTTTTTTTTATTAATGGCTTTAAATTTAATGCTATTTTGAAGCAAAAAACATTATGGGAAAGTATTTAGTTGCAATAATGGACATAAGTAACATACATATTTTAAAAAAATGAACTAAAGGTTATAGCCAAATTTACCAATCAATAAATAAACAAATGTGTCCAAATTATCAAAGTTTGGCTCTGTTTTGTGGTCCACCCTCTGGTCAAGACATATCTTACGTACCGTTAATATTTCTAACGTTTAATCTCTGTTAATAGTTGGCTCGTAGAAGAAACAATGCGTAACAAAAGACTAACCTAACGGTATGCAAATAAGACGAAACCAAAGCTAGTTATAATAACATTTAATTTAATTATATTATTACATTTCTATAAAAATGCAAATTTGAGTACAGGAGCAAAAAAACTGTACTACTTACAGCAAGGGGAAAAAACATACACTATTCTAAAAACAAAAATTAATTTATAAACACAATAATGTAACTTCTCGTACGTCTATCTAAGTCTCGCTACTTACATCTGCTAAGAAACCTGGTGGGATTTATATAAGAATGAAATTCGAACGCTCTAGTACAGAAAGCCTAGAAAATGTGTAACCTAATGGCATTCTGGGTGGAATGCTTTCGAATGTTAACAAAATTTTCACCAGACAGGAAAGGGAAGGGCAGGGAAGAAGGTACACAACACAGGTACAGGTTAACGTCAATATTATTGTCCTCCTAGCAGATAAGTTGTGGGGGATAAAAATGACTCTATTTTGAAGTTTAAAATAAGGCAAGTCCTACGCTATACTAGGCTATATATAACCTCCTACCTAACCAACTAGACCAATCAAAGCAATTTTTAAAGCTCAATTTATTATTCAGAGCTAAGAAACCAATTTAAAATAGAACCCTAAAACGTTTATATATATATATATATATATATATATATATTTATATATATATATCAAGTT